TAAAAACAGAACAAGGTGCTTCTTTGAGTTGAATCCAACTCGTAATGACACTCCATTGGTTTCCAAGGCTGTGAATTTGAATAGGAGATTACCCATCTTTCTCTGAAAGTGGGTGGTGGATTAGAACCAACTACCTTTCCGATAACAGCCTGTTATCTATACCATCACGTCTCCTAAAATGGAAGGCTCTCATTTGTTAGGATGGTGTCTGCACTGAAGTACTGGCAGAAGTGAATGAATCTATGTTATCAAGGGGATTCTGAATTGACTCAACCCTGTACTTAGGAGGGTGGAGGGACAGTGCAGGAGGGGAAGACCCTCTATAAAGTGGATTCATTCAGTGACTGGGGTAATCAGGGTGGGTGTGTTGGAGACAGTGAGATTAGCACAGGACAGAGCAGGGTTTAGGGCTGTTATACACAGGGTCGCTATGAGTCACAAGTGACTCGACAGCACATTAACAACAAAAGCAACAGTACTTCACTGGACGGGGGTCAAGGATGATGTCAATATTTTGTCTTGGGACACTGGCTTGCTACTGATTTCATTCAATGGCAGAGAAAACAAAAGAGGTGAAGGTTTAAGTGAAACTGAACTTCTAATTTGGTGCGCACTGTTGTGTGGTAGACTGTCTTTCCCTAAGACGGACATGCCTTTATGTTTACTCTAGTTCTCTTGACCTTCCGGAAACTTGACCAATACTACTTCCGAGGGTGATGGGTTCTATCTTTGGCCCTTCCTCTTCAGTGTGGAAGAGGATTTGTGGCAGAACCAACCTATGGCATATGTAATTTCTAAGGATGAGATCTAAAATTTTGACCCAGCTTTTTCTCATCTCTCTTTTTTTTTTTTAAGAAATCTGGCTACTGTATTTGAGAAAGTTCAGGCCATGTGGAAGGTGATGGTGTGGCTGTTCCACCAAGAGGTCCAGATAATTTCTCGGTGACAGCCTGTAATCAACTCCCAGACAGAAGAGTAAATTAGTCCCCAGGTGATTTCAGCCTCCAGTTTCTAACTATCCACCTGAGGCTTCGGACCCAGTGAAATAGAGTCCCATCTTCCCAGGGCCTTGCCTAAATTCTAGCCAAGCAGAAATTATGAGAGTTAATGAAGTCTTCTTATTGTCTTGAGACAATAGATTTTAATTTATCACTTTGTTGTTGTTGTGTACCATCAGTCAGAACTGACCGATTGCTGGCCCTCCAGTGAGTTTTCAGAGGCAGTTAATCTCACAGGAGGAGATTGCCCATCCTTCTCACATGGAGAAACTGGTGGATTTGAACTGCTTGCCTTTGGGATTGCAGTGAAGTTTCCTACCACTAAGCTAACACATTGCCTTTGACATACTAATGGGACATTCTCACAGAAATAATATTTTCTTTTCCCTGTCAGTGTTGCAGATTTTTAAAGCATTTTTTTAATGGAAACTTAACTTTAAATGCTCCTTCAGGTTTGCTATTTCCAGTGTTTGTCAACAAACCTTTGAAAATTAGACTGTATTGCTTTCTTTAGCTTCGTTCAAGCAATAAGGGCAGGGAAGGAGAAAAAATGGGAGGGTCTCCTATTGGGGAGTGACCCCAAGTGCAAAGCCGCCTATAGGGGTGGAATGACACAGTAGCAACAAGGCTGCCCTCAGGTTCAGCGGCCTAATTACCCCACAGACCCAGCAGGGCACTGTGAATGTGACCATCAGCCTCTAAAGGGCGGTATGAGGCCTTCTCTCACTCCATCTCCATTCCAAAATGGAATGCCTCTCATCCCGAGACATGACAACTGGTTGTGTTAAGAAATTTTTATTGTTTCCTTTGGATTTGTGATGAAAGCACATAAAATTACCAGTGGAAGAAACATCATGCCACAAAATTGCATAGAATTATTACAAAAATGTGAATTATGCATTTTAAATAATCTGAGATAGGAGAACCAAAATATGTACATTTTAAGAGCTTCCAATCTTCATCCTATTTTTTTTTCTTAAAAGGCAAAAAGTCACAATGTCCAATCCGTCACAAACAATATTGCTATAGTGTACAAGCGCAACATTAAATTCAAAGTAAAGCAAGCAATGGCCTGTTCTTTCAGCATTATTTAACAACTGCTTATCTATTGGAGGAGTATTACTTAATGGATAGGGATAGTGAAAATGTTAAAAACTAAAGAAAAAAAAAACACCACCCCACATGGCATGTCGTCAGAACTCTGGAAATTGGTTTATACAGCCCAAACCATGCTGTTCTCAGTAGTGTGAAGGAGGCCCAGTCTAACAATAGTACACAGCTCTACTCCCTATTACAGCAAACCCACGGTACAGAATTGCACACATTCAACAAAGAACAAGGCAGATACATAAAGGCACAAAACTCGCACATCATAGAGACCCCTTTTTCTTTATCTTAGTCTATTTCAAGTAATATAACTATTATTAAATGACGATATCACTGCAGTAGTTTCAATGATGGAAGATGGACAGTGTCACACACTACCCCCACAACTGCAAAAAGTGTCATTGTACAGATAGAAAAGTGTGATTACAGCAAATGGCCAAATACAAACATACTGTAAAATGCCTAGAGTCGCTAAGATCATGAAATCCAACTACTAAAGAGTTCTGTGTAAATCTAAGTTATTCACCTTTGTCTACCTCTGGACTACAATGTGTACAAGGTGCTATGATAATCACCATCGTGTTTGGTTATGAATGCTATTTTTAGATCATTCTTCTGCAATTTTGGACAGTCTTGTCGTTTTGTTTATAAAATGCAGCATTCAATTCTGACCATTTTTTTGCTTCTCTGTGATTAATGCTTTACTTGCAAAGTGCAAAAGTAAAATACTCACTAAACATTTCAGGTTCAATAGAAGTTAAGTTTTATTAAGTGTCTAACTGACACATTCAATCTCTTGGATCAAAATAGATTCACCTCCAAAAAGGAATTACTTTCCCTTTTAGGTCTGACTACAAGTGTTTGCGTGTGTTTTAAAATAAAACACTGTTCTTTTAACTTTCATTTTGATTAAAACTTATTTGTGATTCCTAGTTATTGCTTAAAGTGAAATAATTTCCATAAAAGTGTTAAATTCTTGAAACATAATTTTCAGGACACAAACAGCTTTTGAGCTTTAAAGAGTTTTGCTTGGCTACCATCGACAGGAATCTGGAAGTAAAACAATGCAATGAGCATCTTATTCAAGGCTTTAACTTGATGTTCTGTGCTGCTCTGTAAACTGCATTTTCCTGTCTATAATCATCCTCTCGTTCTTAAAAATATTGCAATCATGCTTTTGATTAGTGTTAACATGATAGAATTAATTTCTCTTTTGCTCCCTAAAATGGGAACTTAATGAACAGACACAAATAACTGAATTAAAATGTACAGACTAAATATATAATGGATATTTTTTTAAGGTTAGAGTACAAATGAAATCTGTCAGATTTAACAAAGATGAAAACATAACATTTCCATATTGCTGTCCAATGTTTTTGCGAATTCTGACCTTGAAAATAAGTATACAAACTGACAAAGTCAAAGTTTTGATCCTGAAAAATATATATAAAATTCATATTCTAAGTTCTCAATTTAGAACTAGCTCCATTAAGAATGATTTCTTAGTATTTAAGTAATTTTAATATCCATGTAATTGTAGACATTTGACCTCTTGTTCTCTATCCATTTATCCAGAAATTGTTTTTGAGTCTCATGGATGCGAATGGGTCATTGTCAAGGAGTAAACACCACAACCCACTTGTGTGTATGTATATTCAGTTATATGACTCAGTGCCTACATCCATACAGGAAGCCAGTATGTGTCTTTCATATATGAATGGGTCTGTTTATAGTCTTTAGATAATTTATTCAATCTTCATCTCTAATTTATTCAATCTTCTTCTCTATATTAAAAATAAAAGGGGCATAAATACGTCAGACAGCAAAGTCTTGGAGCTTGTTCACTCTGATTGAGTCTCTCCTCAACATCTATTAACTCAACTAGTTTTATCCCAAAGAAGAGACACTTGGTAGGTCTTTGATCACTTCAGGCCGACACCCAATGAGTTCTCAGACGCTGAATGCATATGGTCACTGAGAAAGCAGACTGGCTGCAAACGAGCGGCCCATTTGTTCATGCAGCCACATTTACAAGCCATACTGCCAAGTCTTTTGATGGCTTCAGTGGGCACAGGTACAATCAAATGATTATTTTTTTAAAAGAAATATCAGCTTATTTGTGACAGTAAGGTATTTAAGAAAGCTATGGCAGTAACAAATACGCTGATGCCTCTATGATAAATAAATTAGCAAACTGCAAGCCACCAGTGCTTGCAAAGCAAAGGATGAGACAATCTAATATATACGTTAATGTGACAGTATGGTAGTTGAGGGGCAGTTAGGAAAATAAAAAAAAAAATGCTCAAAGTTGTCTGTTCAATAGTCTTAAGTAGTGTTATGCAGTTTTCAAACTACTTCTATTACTTTGAAATACTTTACACTAAAGCATCAGATTTAAAAAACAAAAAAAACCCAACAAACAAAAACGTGAACCCGATTTTCGTCAATGTCCTTCATTACGTTTGCCGTGGGGCCAGGAAGTTGCCTGCTTTGAATTTACTATTGGAAAGAAAACAGAAAATCCCATATACATGCACTCTCCACCAGTAGCCCCACAGCCGTATCCACACAACACATGATGTCCGACTGTGGGGACCCCTGTGTGGATGCTTCCAGAAAGTTCCCTCTGGGATGGCCTTCAGGCTAAGAGATGCATCTCAGGAGGATGCTCCCAGGCAGTGATCTCTGTAACAAGAGCGAGTCTGATGGAGCTGGCGTGGCCGTGCGTGCTGTGGAGGCCTGGCAGGAGCTGTCACAGAGGGGTATCGAACTCCTTCCCTTGGCTGTCTCCTCCCAGCTCCTCACTGGAGGGAGGTCTGTGGTTCAGTTTTCCAGGGTCTGGGGTCTGGGTGGGAGGGGCTGAGCTATGATTGCTGTCTTCACTGATCTTCCCCTTCATGGCTTCCTGCACGAACTCCAAAATCTCCAGGGGCAGCCTTTTGAACTTGTCCTGGTACTCCTGCTCCAGGTCCATCTGCAGCTGGGAAACATCAGGAGAGAATGTGATCAGGTTATTTCAAGTTTCTATTGACACCGTGTGTCAATAGAATGAACATGTAGACGTTCATTCAAAAGTTTATGTAAGGAGGTGAGAGCAATTCACATGCCCCCCACTGGCGGCTGTTGAGTGTTATCTCTGAGTGACTTCTAACTCCTGATCACCTATGAACCCGTCTTCCCTTCTAAGGTGCTCCTGGGTGATTCAGAACTGCCAACCTTTGGGTTAGTACTTGAGCATGTTTACACCACTGACTGCCTGTCTCTCTCTCTCTTGTTCCTGTTGCCTTCAATTCATAGCTGACGCTCAGAGACAGTAAATCGCACTGCAGGAGATTGCCTCTCTCTCTCTCTCTCTCTCACTCAGAGCAGCCGGTGGGTTCAAACTGCTTGCCTCTACCTGGGCAGTACAACTTCTTAACACTCAGCCACCATGGCTGTCTAGAGAAGACTCACAACCACATCTAATTGGATCACAGCTAAAAGTCAAGTTTAGATCGTGTGTGGCATAATGGGACTACTGGTTTGGAATAATGCAAACATATAGATCCACACATCCACACACAAACCTTCCTAGAACCCGTAGTCAATAACCCGAAGTCTTTAAACAGAATTTGGAGGCTGGTGACACTTGGGAGTGTCAGAGTCCAAATGTTGTTGTTAAGTGGACCATGACTCATAGGGACCTGATGAACAGACCTGAACCTTGTCCTATCCTGCGCAAGTCGCACCATCTCTGATATATTTCAGTGCACTGATAACAGTCACTCTGTCAATCCAGCTTGTTGAAGGTCTTGCCCACTTTCGCTGATGCTCCTCCTTTCCACACATGGCATCCTTTCCAAGGACTAGCTTCTCCTAACAACAAGGCCAGAGTCCAGCTAAGGAAAGCTAACAGCTGACTACAGAGGACCAGGGAGCGAGGAGCAGGTTACAAATGGGCACTGGAAGTTCAGCACGGAGTCCTTCCAAAGAGCAGCGTGACAGTTGCACAAACCGACCATATACCTGTAATCCACTTTAGCTTTTATTTTACTTTTCTTTTTCCCCTCAGTTTATCATTATTGATAATTTAAATGAAAGTTTACAGAGACTTTGGATTTCCATTCATTCACTGTTGCACTTTTCTCCCTGCCTGCCCCTCCCCCAGACCGTACTTCTCTTTGAAAAGTAAAAGAAAAATTCTTTCATTGTTATACAATCCCTCCCCCCAGGTCCACTCCACTATGCAGCCTTCATTCTGGACTCCTGTCGTGGCAATAAGACCTAATCATATATCCCTTTTAACAGTTCTCTCCCTCATGACTCGACGGCACTTAACAACAGAGAGTTTCAGTGCAGTATATAATAATTTATCCCATCTTTCTCAGTCTCCCTCCAACCCTGATGCCAGTCCTGTTTTATAACAGTGGCACTATGCAATATTTGTCCTTTTGCGACTGAGATATTTCACTCAGCATAGTGCCCTCCACGGTCACCCATTTTGTATAGTATTTCATGAGTTCTTTGTTTTTCAAAGCAGTGTGGTATTCCATTGTACTTTTCCTTATCATCTTTTTAATTGTATTTTTATTTGCCTTGTAAGTCGTTCTCACCCTCCTTTGAACTGTCTTTAATTTACCCACTTCATGCTGTGGAAGACACTCCGGGGCCTAGTGGGTAAGGAGTTGCACTGCCAACCCAATGGCATGCAGTTCCTCCCGCTGCTTCGAAGGAGAAAGATGGGCAATCTGCTCCCGTGGGATATAAAGACTCTGGAACCCACTAAAGGGGCAGCTAGGGGTGGACTCTGATGGTCATGAGTTGGCTGTGGTGTTTTGTTGTTGTTGTTGTTGTTTTTCCTGTTATGCTCTGGAGAATCGGAAATATTTTCAGAACCACAGAACCATTCTCCTAACAGCACTCTTACAACTGAGGTGCCACCCATAGATGAGGTCAAAGCTGGGAATTCTGGATGGAATGGGGAGGCCTCAGCTCTGAGTGCCCTCTGGAGCTGCTCTGTTGCATTGAGACCTCAGCCTTTTAGAGAAAATTCTCATTGACAAAGAGAGAGAATCTTAAAAATGGCATATGTACCAAGTGATGCTTCTCCTCTTAATAGCCTTGAGGTGATCTGTCCTAATATCCTTCAAATTCCTGATCTTTTGGAACATTAGATGCATGAGCTTGTCTGGGTTCTTGATTTTGATTCGGATTCTGAAGGCTTCTGGGAGGTCCCAGAGTCTGCGGTTCTCACAGGCTCCCTGGTACTATTGAGAAGACTCTGGATACCCCATATCCCACCTCAAGGCTCCCTGATTCCTAATGTTCATAGCTGCTAAGCAAAAGGTCCTTGGTTTGAAACTATCAGCAAGGCAGAGATGAACAGCCTCTTCTCTCAAAGACTCCGTCTCAAGAGTCTAGAGAGCATTATGCTGAGTGAACGAAACTCAGTCTCATAAGAACACCGTATGAGGTCATTATTGTCAAGATACATATCCACGTCCAAAAGGGAAAGGGGAAAGGTGGAAATCACTAGGGAAACAGAGTTAAGTGGTCAGATGGAGGGGGTGGTGCGAAGGAATAGGAAAGATTCAGTAGGGACTCGAAATGATGGGGTAATAACCGGCATAGATGAACAGTAATTAATGATATAGAATAGAATGCACAGGAATGACGGTATGAAACACAGTGCAAAAGATATATTGTATAAAGCACAATGTACATGAATGAAACATAATGTAAACGGATAAATGTATGTAAGCTATTAAAAAAAGGAAAAAAAAAGACGGCCCATCTCAAAGATCAAATAGATGACTGCCATGTTGGGGAACGGACCCAATGGAGGAGCGTAGTTCTCCTCTGAGTTCTCGGATCTCCAGCTCCTCTCTCTGTCTGCAGTCCTCAGGGGGCAGTCAGGGCTGGTTCAGGCCTCAGGGTGTGTGCCCTCTGCTCACCCACACTGGACAGATGGACAGCAGCCTGGGGAGAACTCTTCCTTTATCTTAGCTCCCTCCTCTCTCTCTTGCTTCTATATTAGAGATATTCTGGCAGGCCTTAGTCATTTAATACAAACTCATCACTTCTTATCTGCAATTCTAAAATCTCCAAAGAGCTCAAATCCAGAAGGTTGTTTTGGAAATTTGTGGCAAGCTTGTTTACATGAGCTGATATTTATAACCCTGTGTATCCTTATTCATCCCACTCTGCGTGGGGATCCATGCACCTTATTGTCAAAATATGAATCCGTTTGATTATGAGGGTGACCCAGCCCTCCCTGATATGGTTAGCTTTTGGAAAATTCATTATGTCCCCTTTCTAAAAATCAGAAGATTATCAATTCTGAAAAGCAAGAGGCCTCCAGTGTCTCAGATAATGGATGCAGCTCAGTTCAAACAATTTTTTCAATGTAAAAAAATATATCTAATGAAAATTACTTAGCCTAAGTGAATAATGAAAGTCAAGTACTTTCCCCAAACAGAAAATGTGGGCAGTCTGTGAATATATCTTACTGGCATTCAAATGCTAATAAGCCAAGGAGGAAATGTTCTGGGGGGAGGGGGGCCTGGGACCTTGAGAGTCACTGTTGGTGGTGGAGTGAAGGCAGAGTCACACAGAAATTACACTCAGTGTCAGACATGCAAACCACTGGAGAAACGGCGAGAAGAAGAACATCAGAAATTCTTTGCCAGGTGTCCCAATAATTTAGAAGGCAATGAAGCTTCACCACGTCACATGCTCTTGGCGAAGTGATGTATCAGCCTGATGTCTGATGGTGTGGACTAGCAAGACTTGAAACTGCCTCAAGTGTAATTCAGCAAATACTGTGATGAAGTTTCCTATCTCCAAGAAAGACGGGGTGTTGGGTGGGGGGTTGGGGAGGGTGGTGTGGAAAGCAAAGGCATCTGTCTCTAGGGCTCAGTAGATTGCGGTTTTTGCTGGTAGACAATTCTCTCTGATCACTACAATTAGACTAGTGTTGCTGTGTGCCACAGAGTCAGATTGACCCAGTGCTGACTCTCCAGTGGGTGTTCACAGGTAGCAAATGGAATGGGAGGAGACTGGCCATCCTCCCATGGAGCAGCTGGTGGGTTCAAACCACCCACCTCTGGGACTGCAGCACATCTTCTTATCACTAGGCCACCAGAGGTGTTCCCTTCCAATTAGACTAGCCAGACTCAGTTCTGAAATTGTTGCTTTAAAAAAAAAAAAAAAAAGAAATTGTTGCTTTAACTTGATTTCAAAGATATTGTTTATTCAGCGCCTCTTTGAATCTTGGGCTGTGACACAGGAAAAGGAGAAATAATCCTAGCTCGAATGTATTCAGCCCTGAATATATTGTGGCAGATTTTTCGACTTTAAATTCTGTGTTGCTTCTACCATTTCTTCACTTGCCTGAAGTAGTTAACCAAGACTTACATCTCATTAAGCAAAACAAAAAAATTTATGCATGAATGCAATAAAAATCCACAAGAATACAAGCTACACAGGGTTGTTAACATATAAAAGGGTGGGGTGGGGATGCACTAGAAGATAAATATGCCCTAACCATGACGTCAGTCATGTTATTAACAAGATGCAATTAAAACCCATTTTATATGGAAATAGGGAAAGAAGTGAGATAATAAAAAAAAGAATTATACTGGAAAATATACAGACAGTTATTTATTTTGATCTTTAAAGAGTCAGGATGCAAAAAAATGAACTGATCAGAGCTTGGAGGAAGGCTTTCGCTTCCTTTCAACTAAATTTCATGTAGCAGCATTTTGAAGGCCACTTAGGAAATTGACATTTGAATATATTTCTTTTTTGGCTGTTTTTACCATCTTCTAATTTACAAATGATTGTTGTTGTTGTTACGTGCCATCGAGTCGTAGGCGACTCATAGCGACCCTATGAAGGAAAGTCCTGGACACTTGTATAACTTTCATTCTTTCTCCAGGTTCATAGGGTTTCTGGAAGCAAGCTATTTTGGAAGTGGATACCACTCCTGCTTTCAAGCTT